TATATAATATTTATTATAATAAAAATATATATCTCTCTCTCAGTAGAAAATTATAAATAAAATGATTCATGAACTCTTGTTCAACAAGCAAATACGTAAAAAAAACTTTCCCGTTACGATCGTATACACATAACGCATAAGTATAACACAAAGAGTTTGAAAGTTTCATTCCTTTAGTCGATTTCTCAGTCTAGAAACATGTCTCTTCGCGAGTGGTACACGAATCGTGAAATTCTCCTAACCGGAGTGACCAGTGAATTAGGTCAAAATCTTCTCGAGAAAATACTTCGTACATTTCCAGACGTTAAAGTTCATGTTATTGTGAGAACGCGAAATAATTTGACGAATGAGGAACGAATTAAAAAAATCTTCGCATCGCCTGGGTATTTAAACAATATTTTATAAATTTTATTTTCAAACTTTTTCGAAAATAATTCTAATAATAAACAAAAATTATATACACAAAATAATATTTTGTATTAATTTTTTTGATATGTTTTTTGCTCTTATTGTTAGTTAATTAAACAGGTAATATAGTTTATTGAAAAATGTACGGATTTATTTCAAAAAATATATTTCTATTTAAATATTATACAAATTAGAATATAACGCAGGTTGGAAATTAAAGATAATAAAATATTAATTTTATTTATTAATCAAATATATCAATAATCTCTCTAAAATATTTATTATATTATATTTATATATTAAATGAGAGATAATATTTTTCTTTTATGCAAATATAAAGTAAAGTAATTAATATAGTCATCATGATGAATAATATGTAACACCTAACCTTGCGTTAAAACCTGTAATACGATGTTTCGAGGAAAACAACTAATAACGATGTATTAGAACTTGATACCACACAAAAAAAATATTACAACACAACAGATAATTATTGGCTTGTTTTCATACATATACATAAATAAAAGATAAATATATAGATGAATGTATAATCAATTGGCATTATCTCTCGATAAGAATTTATTTTCATTAAAATAATATCAACCCAACGTTTATCCATTGAAAATCATCGCAAATTTTCTGAATATCACCGATCAACATAAATGCACACATCAAATTTCTATTATATCTTACAGAATAAATAAATTAATTAATCATATTTAATCTTTCGTTCGTAAAAACAGCTTATTATTATTAAATATTTAATCTTTTGAAGTCATTTATAATATTTATTATACTTCCCATAGAAAAGAGCTATTTTCGCTTATGAAACCTTTTAAAAAGATAAATATGCAATTTTTATGGAATTTTTTATCGAGAAAGTAAATCCTGCTTTATTTCACATTATTTGTCATAAATAAAATGATATAAATACAAAGGTGTCTTGCAATTAATAAAATTAAAAATTCAAACATTGATACCTAACATATTTAAAACGAAAATCTTATTATAAAAGAATTCATTGTCAACTCAAATTTATCGTTAGGCAGAAACGTTAAAAGAAATGTATTTTAATTTACAAAATCCACAAAATATTAGTAAAGTACAATTATGTATTCGATTTACCTTAATTGATTGATAAATAATCGAAGGAAATATATATTGAAATCTAGAAACACGGAGTATAAGTTCAACCTACTGTCTTTTTCGAAATTCACCAGAAACTCAGACTCGTTGAAAGTCTCTATAACAATTAATTAAAATTTTTTTGTTGATTATTGTTTATATAACTTTATCTATAACTCAAATAATATTCGTAATAAATGAAATTACACTTTACATTATTCTTATTTTAACGTTGTATCATATTTATGTGTAATATAAATTTAATTTAATTTAATTTAATTTAATTCAAACCAAAATGTATTTGAGTTTAAATAATGAAATAATAGTAAATTTCAATAAGAACGGTATATGGAATTTATATTCCATGCTTTTTAACAACAATATATAAATTTCTTTCGATTAATGAACAATAATTTAAGATATATCGAAAACTTAACTAACCATCATCGATATCAAAATTTAAATAAAATACTTCAAAAGAATTAAGAACACACGTTAAGAACACAAATCCTATTTTCTTTGAATTACACGATACAAAAAAAAGAAAAACAACATTATATGGAATTTCTTTAAATATCTTTAAACAAGAGCTATATATTATGATTTACAATTAAACCACTTATATAATTGTAGACACAGTTGTAAGTTATTTATATATGTACTTACACTAATATATAAATATACATAAATGCATATAACGAACGCTTAGCATACTGACGTTCGCGATAAGCATAATTCCGGTGGAAAGAAAATAAGTCATTTCAATATTGATCGTTTATTTGCACGTAGTAAATACATACACACACGTATATATAAATACACACAATTATATACATACGCACGTACGTATGAACGAACGATGATAACGAAAACAAAGCACCGGACTGGTCAACGTTGAAGTTTCTATTGTTTTCACTTCTTTCGCATCTTCATACGTTATAGCTTCATTCTTTTTCACTCCGCGACGTTTAAAAAACCACATATATATTTTTGCATCTCGCGTGCACGCATGTATAATCGAACACCAACGTCTCTCGAATATCGAATATGGAAATAAACGTGTAAATATTTGTCCGTTCCTTGCTACGTTCTTTCCAACTACCCTTTCCCTGCAAGCCCCACCCATCCCCTCATTTCCTACAATTCCCAGTTTCCAATCCCTTTGACTGAAAACGCGAGAGAAATAATAAAAAGGAAAAAGAAAAAAAAACAAGAAAATGAAAAAGAAAATGAAAAAGAAAAAGGAAAAGAAGAAAAAAGAAAAAAAAAAAAAAAAAAAGGAAAAGAAGAAGGATTTAATTTTCGTGCTCGTTTATTTTACACCAGGGAAAACCTCGCGTCATTTTTCATAATTTTTGACGGGAAAATCGATCTCCGATGTTCCACGAAACGAGCAAACGTTCTATCTATCTCTATTGCAACCAAAAGGAAAAGAAATTCTTCTAGAAACGTTTGACCGATTTTTTCTTTTTTTTTTCTTCTTTTTTCTTTTTTTCTTTTCAACTCTTCCTTCTTTTTATACATTTTTTTCCCTTTTCTTTCTCTTTACTCCCTTTTTTCTATTTATTTTCTTTATACGCTGTGTTACCAGTGTCACGTCATTGAGAACGTACTGGAAAAAAATAAAAGAACAAAAGGAAAGAGAAGAGAGAGAGAGAGAGAGAGAGAGAGAGAGAGAGAGAGAGAGAGAGAGAGACGTTGTTCTAGGTGAGAAGCTAATCGTTCGATAGAATGAAAAAGAAAAAAAAAGGAAAAGAAAGAAAGTAAAAAACAAAAGGAATTTCTCATTGAAACCATTTAAATGATTGACCTGATAAAAATGTCACTTTGAAGTTGCACATACATACGAAACACTTTTTTTTCAACATTTTTTATTTCATTCCCCCCATCGTGTGTGTGTGTGTGTATCATAAAATTAATTTCTTTTTCTATTCGCAAAAACTCGAAAATATCGTAGATGATTTTTTTTGTTGTTTTTAAATTTACGTTAAACAATTTTCTTCCGGTTAATAACGTAAATTAATTTAAAGAATTTTTTCTCGTAAAAATTAATCCCTCCATTTATAAGCCCGAAAATTAATTCATTTTTTCATAATTAATTTCATTTATAAATATAATAATTATTAAAAGAAAGTTAAGAAAAAATGTTGTATTTCTAATTGCATAGTAAAAAAAAATTGAATTATTTTTCTTCGCAAGGATATAAATAAGATGTGATCGTATAAACAATAATTATTCTCTTTTAAATTATATATAATTTAACCTACGCGCTTATACAAATTTTCTTTACACGCTTATATCTACCGATCATTATCATTTCGCTATTAACATTCATTTTCTAAAGTAAAAGTCATTTCTCACATATAGAAAATGTATTACTTCTTCGATACCATCATAATAATTATCATTCAACGAATGACGTCAATGATAAATCATCGCAATTTTCTAAGATAAAAAAAAAAAAGAAAATAAAACGTTAACGTATTGACAAATGTGTTTTAGTAGAATTAATGAACAGAAGAATGTAGGATTATATTCGATACCACTTTGAATCGAAATAGACAGGAAGATCTTATAAACACACACACACACACACATAAATAAATTAGATTGCTATATTACATACATACATATACATATATATGTATATGTAATATGTGATCGTTCATCGTAACGAGCCAGGTGGAATCGCAAAATACGTGAAGCGAGACTTCACTGCTCTACTAAACACACCCGGAAGCGTTCTATCTCTCTCTCTCTCTCTCTCTCTCTCTCTCTCTCTCTCT